CCCTTTCGAGCGCTGGTACATAACGAGATTGACGCTAATATCAACGTCCACACACACCTACCCACCCACCCTTTTGAAACGTTGCATACTAGCTTTATTGAAGACTGCAAAGCAGTATATAACACCGAAAGAGCCGAATATACAGTCGAGGGTCAAGCGGGTCACACAGACAAGCGTTATTTGTCCGGTAAAGTTAAATTTAATAATGTTGAATTTTTCATGTTTGTATGAAATATATGTTTTCTAAATTTACATTATTGTATTTTTTCAAAGTAAAATAAAGCTAAAGTGACATCCTTAATCAAATCATAACAGTTTGCTGTCAGTCTGCAGTGCGTTACGCAGCCTAGTCGAATATTGTCTTGTCCAATAAGTGTTTAAATCATCGGTATTCTTCTGAATAATGACTAAAGTCTCATAGGTTGAGGCTTATGTGCTTTTATAATGCTTGAAAAAAGTGCTAAATCTTTAGCTTTTTCTTCAAAGACGGAAATAAAGAGGACATTTTCAAAGTAGTGATTCAGTAAAATACAAGTCTCTATTGACCGATAGATTTTCTTAGAGGATCACTTTGACCCAGATTTCAGGGACGATCAATGGAAAATATGGGATTGTTTCGAACTGCTCAAGACGTTAGAGTTAAGCAGTGATTTAAACAGAACATGAATTCGACAGAAAATCTGATGCGATGTTAACTTTAAACGACGAAGTCACACTGAAGCCGTAATCGTCGTACTTAGAGATAGTAAGGGCTCTAGATAAAATGAAAAATTTCTGAAGAATAATCAAAATCGTGGAGCTTGGTCGTACGGAGATAAGAACATTGGTTTATTTCAATTGCTACAAACCCCCTCACAGAATAGAAGCCCATTCGGAATAGAAGCCCAGTCTCATCGCTATAATTTTCAGGATGTAATAGAAGCTTATCCAAATCGAAACCACGAATGAGGAAAAAATTTTTGCACTTCTCCCAGGGGAAATTTTCGAAAAAAATTTTTTTCTCACATTCGAAAATGCTTTGAGAGTATCGCATAGAGAACCGTGCGAGTGTTTATACGAGATAGAAATCTTTCAAAGCGATGCCAATTTCACACTAATTTCGACCCATTCCAAGAATGGAAATTGGTGTAGCCCTAGACCATCCCAATCTTCAAAAACTTCGTTTTTTTACTTAACGATTTACAAACATTGTCAAGGCCCCCCTCAAAATTCGATCTCAGCTCCAGAACATCGAGATAGCATGAAACTTTGAGAATATCTGGGGAGTGTACAAATACATCTGTAGTAAAATTCTCAGCTTCCTGTTCTGATATCTGAGGTAGATACGAGCCAAGTAAGAGTCGAAAAATAGCTTATCGAGTCTCCAAAAAATCGCTACGGGTGTTCAATCAATATGGTTGATTGTTTTTTCATATGAAAGAGCGTGTCAGGATCCAGTGCCTATGAGGGCCCTTTTTTTTAAAATTCTTATCTTTATGAAGAAAAAAGGATTCACAAGTTCAATCACTTAAAAATCTCTCAAAAAATGACGCTCGTATAATAAAATTATTTATCAGTATAAAAATAGCAAAGCTTTATCAAAAACAAGGGCTCTCATAGGCACTGCAATTTCTGATGTTCTTTCAAACAGAAAAAAAATATTTGAGTTTATATCGCATTATAGTTGACTTTTGGTGGAGATGCGTCGTTCGACTACAACTTTGAGAAAAAAGAAAAAATTTTTGGATTTTTTTCAAAAACTGTTGGTTTTTCGAATAGGGGCTGTCGAAAATCTTGAAAATTTTTCGGAAAAAAGAAGGTACCGAAGAAAAATTTTTATCGCTTATGAACGATCAAATGACAAGCTATCTCTCTATATATTTATCTCAATTTCAGTGATTCTGACGAAAAGTGAATTGTTTTTTTGGGGAGGGGAACCTGAAGAAACTTTTAAAAACTTATCGAGAAATTCTTTGAAAATTTTCAGTTTAGGAAAATTTCTAAGAAATTTTTTGAAACAGTAGTTGACCTCCTCCCCAAGTTCTACAAATTGAGACACCACTACATATATACAGTTGCATAGGAATTTTAATAAATTTACTATAATCTTAGGAGTCTATGGGCTTTTTTATTTCAAACTGAATTCTAAAATCAAAAAAACCACACCAATTTCTTCCGAATCAAACTTTTCTCGCTTGATACTACGTAGTCTCACTAAAAACCCTTAGTCCCCCCTAGTCCTGCAAAGTCCCCCTTAGTCTCCCCACAAAAAGCTTGGTCCCCGCTTCGTCCCTTGTGCAGGGGACTAAAGCCTATAGTACACAAAACCACAAGCACACCCTCACCCTCACTCGCGCGCCCACACCCGCACCATGGGTGTGGGTGTGTGTGTGGGTCCCAGGCCAACACCCACACCCTCAGTCACCCCCCCTCACTCCTAGACTCACGTTTCAGTTTGAAATCAAGTATTATTTTTATTTGATAAATTCAGACTGAAATTAAATACCCCATTCTATGACTAAAAATAGAATAGAATCAGAAAAAGATTATGACATCTAGGACCAAAGTCAAATCCAAACACAAACGGTTTAAGACCAAACTCTAAAATATTTGTCCTTTTATTCTATTCCTATGAGAATAGATTGTTGTTTGTAACATCGTATCTTATCGAATTTCTTGAACTTTGGTCCAATGATGAATAAATCCAAACCAAATTCGGTCCCAAACTTCCAAACCCAAATCTATGTCCAAGCCTAGACTACAAAATCCAAAGCCAAACCTAATTTATACCCAAATCTGTTTTCAAGCTCAAACCCAATGATATCAAACCCAAACATCTAGGCTTATTGCATCCCTACCAATCTTACACTCACACTCACCGAAACTCGTAAACACCAAACATCCATGCTCACACCAAAATGCGAACCAGAGATGAGCACAGAAGAAGATTTTTCGTCCTGTCCTGCTCTGTCCTGACGGGCGGCAGTACAGGACAAAATTCAAAATCACGTCCTGTCCTGTTGACAATCTCTGTCCTGGCGGGCGGCAGGACAGGACAAAAATTAAAATCGCGTCCTGTTCTGCTGACTTTTTGTTCCTGACGGATGATAGAATAATACATAAAAACTTTGTCCTAGTTTATTTTGCTAGTTCATCCCATTTTTTCGAGCGATGGAGTCGATCACGAGAGTCCTTAACCTGGCTATCATTGATCAGGGATATGTCGATGGGGGAGGTAGGGATCCAGACCCTTCTTTCTTTGAAAAGTAGTGGATGGCCATAGTAAAACTGTACTAGAACGTTTGTTTTAAAATCTCAATGTAAGAAATTTGTCCTGAGGGGAAGTACACGGATCATATCTAGGCCCCTTCACTTTGTTTTTCTTTGGGCACATCCCTGTCGTCGATCAAAGCAAATATTATTATTATTTACGTTATGCCTAATTTATTGTTTACTATCCTCAAATACAAGAAGTACACTCTAGAACATCACTTATTTAATAAGTACAACAAAATATAATAAAATCTTAATTTTATATCTAGATGGCACATTCGTAACAAGAAAAAAATACAAAAAAAATGAATGATTCATGGTAACATCATTATCTTATTGTATGCTAGATACTACCTATGAGAAGTAACAACAGCATTGACTTTTAAAACAAAAAACAACTATTTTCATGAATAAATGTACTATAATAATTGAAACAGCTAATATATCCTAAAATTCTTTGAAATATACCATGTTAAACTAATTTTCCTGGATAATGAAAGACTTTCGACGAACCTATTTAATGGTGTTGAGGATTTTTTTTTATAACATTATGTTTATGTGTTTTGTATTTTGGTAATTGTTTAGTTTTTGAGGAATTTAATGTGTCCGACGATGATGAAATTTTATTAATGCTCATGCTGAATATTTATTTTGAGAGTCAATAAATCGAAACAAATAAAATACAAAGTAAAATAAAAAATATTCAGGGTGAAAAGCACAAAGAACAATTGTTTCGTGTTGCTTTCTCTTTGCATTGTGACTGAAAATTTCTGAATCATCAATGATTACATCTAATTGGTAGTTTTTTTTCAACGAATATTTAAATTAGTGTTATGACTCATTTTCATAGCGATATCTATCACTCACCACATACGTCGAGTGTTAAAAAGTAACACTTCGAAAATGACAGTCGTTTAAAATAAATATCAATGACAATAGAATGAGAAAGTTCCCACGAGAAATTTTTCTGTTCTGTTCCGTCCTGTCCTGTGCTTATCTCTGATGCGAACCTGCACCCCACACATACTCACCAGAGATGTCCATCGCGGCTGAAAATCTGCCGCTGCCGCGTCGCGGACTTAGAAAAAAAAAGCTGCCGCACCGCAGCCGCGCCGCGACGGTTTATAAAAAAATGTTGCCGCGCCGCTGCCGCGATGAATTATAAAATAAACGTGCCGCCGCCGCGCCGCTGCCGCGGCGGTTTAAAAAAGTGTTTCTAATTTCACTGCTGCGACTATATTTGACCAGAGATATTGGTACTAGTCCATCAGATTCATTCAGTCTAGGGGTGTTTCATTTATAAACCCTGAAATTCTATTAAATTCATGCAGTTTTTCAATGTTCCCCAAAAAAATCCTGCCGCTGCCACGATGGTCTTTTAAAAAACCTGCCGCGGTGATTTTTAAAAAATCTGCCGCTACCGCGCCGCTGCCGCGGTGATTTTTAAAAAACCTGCCGCTGCCGCTACCGCCACCGCCATCGCGGCAGCGGCAGCGGCAGCGCCGCGATGGACATCTCTGATACTCACCCACTCCAAACATCCACAGTGACAGCCCACACTCATTCTCACATCTGCCCACACCTACATCCACACTCCACATTCATATCCACCATCTCCACACCCCAGACAGCAACAGCCATTAGTCTTTGGTGAAAGAAAAGAAATGACATACATGTTTAGTGCTTTTAGATTTTATTGAAAGAGTTGTGACGAAGGGTGTTGTTAAGAAATATAAGGAAAGCCAATCATGGCATCGGCAAATGGCCAACCTCAGCCGACTCGGAATGATCAACAAAAAATCGACAAATTTGTTGAACTTTTAAATGGAACAGTAAACTCATTATTCGTTCAGCTCGTCAAAAGTGAAGATAGTATAGAAGAAATCGATCGTAAAATGGATGAACATATTCATAAACGTATTTTTAAAACTGATGCATCAAGAGTTCTTGATAGTCGTCAGAGAGTTGCTGCTACGTTGCAGGTGATCGTCGATTATACTTATCGTGTATTATGCCTTCGACGGTCAGCACCTAATGCGCTTCAGACATTGATTTTATTAATAGATTGGGCATTCATTCCAAAACTTGTTGATCGTAAATGGCAGCCTGATATAGTTCAATTATTTGATCAAACAGTAGACTCGTTCTTTCTGATTCATGTTTCGAATTTAGATGATGAGTCTCAATTAAATCCAACTTCTGAAACAAATGCTTTCCGATCGATGTTGACAATGATAAATTCTGTTTATGAAACAAAAACCGGTCGAATGCATACAAAAGTTATGAAAATCGTTCAAGCATGCTGTCATAGTAAATATGCACGGCAAAGTCCACCTGGAAATATTTTGGCGGCAGATTTATCCGGACTTATTTCATATATGTTGTATGAACCTGTTTTTGTACCACCAAAGGAGTTTATTACGGGTTCCAGATACAAATTTTCATGGTCTGATTTACGAAATGATTTAGTAGAACTCAAGGACGATGAAAAGTTACAATCAAAACTTCCATCACGTCTACAACGTTTCGAATCAAGACTTGTTATCCCAATACTTACTTACCTTTTGATTGGACTAAACCAAGACGAAAGTGAAAATCTATCAGAAGTTGTTTATCGTGCTTTGCATGCAAAATTGCCACGCCAAATTTCATTGACTGCTTCTGGTTTGGAAAATCTGTTCAATATTTTAATTAGAAAACCAGACGCTTTTATGTTATTTCTTAACAAAATCTTAAAAGATATTATTAGTCAGAAAAAAGGATGGCTTTCAATATTGTTGGATGGATTAGTGAGCTTCTGCGTAAACAATGTTGAGTGTGCTAAAACTTCACCTGAACTTCGAAAAATGATTAGCATTATTCTTAGTCGTTGTATAATTAAAGATACAACTGATGCAGAAATAAAAGAAAATCTTTCGAAACTCTTAAAATCATTTGGCTTTACAGAAAATGGAGAAAAATCGAATACAAATCAACAATTAGAAGTGTTTTTTTATCTAATACAACAAGTTTCCATGACTCATCCAGAATGTATTGAATGGACTTTTTTGATCGATATATTTATGAAAGTATCCAATGCGGATGTTGACGAAATTATATTTTCGGCATTGTATGATGCAATGTGTAACGTAGATCGATCTTGTACACTAATGTTTATTCTTGAAAATCTTTATAAAACAAGATCTCTGAAAGATGTCGAACGAGAACTTGTATTAAAAATTAGTAGAATGTCTGATACTATTTCAAAATTCGAAAACTATTTATTAGCTACGATGCAGTGTGAAAATAATTTGAAAAAAGAAACAAATGTAATATGGAACGTGTGGGAAATGCTTACACAATCTGATGAAGACAAATTTCATGAATTTGCATCGTTTCTTACTCTACTCTTTGCAGAATGCTTGAAAGTTGGCCAAATAAAAGAGCGGAAAATTGAACTTGCGATGGATTTAACAAAAGTAGTTGAAAAGGCAATCCAATTTTCATTTGATACACTTCCCACAATCCAATGTGGACAAGCTGTATCAGGCATATTTGTATTATTAGAATCCATTCTCAAAGATCATACCGATGAAACTCTTCAAACTCACATTATTCCACGAATACAAACAGAATCAGGCCTCTGTCATCTTGTTAGCAGTACGACATTCTTAAATGACTTCAAAATAGTATTGGATACACTTAAAAAATTGAAACTTGATGAGAATCTAAGAAAAATAATTTCCATATTCATTGATCTCTTAACTTTTCCAGATAAAACAAAAGTAACAGAAATTACTTATATATCCATTATGAACATAGTTACAGAATTATGTGAAGATAACGAATATGGAACTTTGGTATGTGAAATATCCATGAAAAAGTTGGGTGACTTTTTACAGATGCTCAATAGTCACGAATGTTATATAAGTACATCTGCTGTTAGAATAATTGCTTCAGCCTTCCATATGAGACCAAAAGAACGTGAGTTTTTATTGAAGAGTTATGGTGTGTCACCACGAACCAAAAGAATAAATAGTAACCAAAATACTTTACTCTCAACATCATCCCAGTTCTTTTTACTTGATGAAACCAAAAATACCAGTAAATTCATAGTTTCATCATATTTCAAACAAGAAAATTTCGTGGAAGTTGAAAATTTATTAACAAATGAAGCTCAAGGTACACTTGATAATCGATCAACCACCGTCGCTGGCTCAATTCGAACTCATCTATCGAAAAACATTCAAGATGAATTAACATCTGCAAAAGTTGCTACAAATGATTATATACCATTGGTTATGACGAAGACAACTCATGAAAATTTGTTGACCATTCTGGAAGCAGCAAAAAATCCAATACCACTACTTCTAGAAGGGGCTACAGGTGTGGGAAAATCAGCCACTGTTACTGAAGCTTCACATTTATGTGGGACAACTTTAGTTCGTTTTAATCTTTCATCAACAACAACAGAAGATGACCTTTTTGGGAAACTGAATATAAATAGTTCTGGCATAACGATGGCAAAGCAACCATTTACAACTGCATTTGAAAAAGGTTATTGGATTTTACTTGATGAAATTAATCTTGCACCATCACAAACATTACAAGCATTGATCGCTTCACTTGACACAGGTAAAATTACTTTAAAAGATCCATCCCAAGTAAATTCAGTTAGAGCTATTCAACGTCATTCTGATTTCCGATTATTTGCAACACAAAATCCAAATTCTGGATTTTTTAAAGGTAAAAGAGAAGATTTGCCATCATCATTACTTTCTCGTTTCGTTCCTGTCATATTTCGTAAGTTACCTGACGATGAGTGGATTGATATTATTGTTGATCGATTAAAATGTTTAAAACCGTTAGAAACAGACGAAAGTTTAAGAGAAATGGCTGAAAAAATAGTAAAACTTCATATAACTATCGAAACTTTAGTTCATAGTGATTCATCAATTGAAAACATTGAACAGCGATTTCCAGAAATAGGTCCTTATACTGAGATATCAATTCGTGAATTACTTCGGCTAATATCACATATTGCATTACTTCAAAAATCAGAGATTTGGAAGCCATTTGATACAAATGAAGGAAAGCAGCTGCTTGCAAATGAAATGTGGACAGTTTATGGAGCTCGATTTCGTCGGGAAGGACGAGAAATAATTCATAACATAATGAAAAAAAATGGCTTTGTTTGCGATCTATTTCAAGATCAATCTACAACAATTACAATGAATATTAAAGATGACTGTATTGATTTTGATTCGACTCATCGTCTTCACCGAAATCCAAACAAACAAATTAACTTTGAAAGTAGTTGTATACAAGATGCTATAGATATTTTTACATTATTTGATTTTCACAAATTAAGAAGCCACTTAGATATGACTAAACTTGAAAGTCTCACAGAAATAGCCGGTAAAGTTCATAGTTTTATAAAACAAAAAAGTTTTGAAGCTAAATTTATCGAACAATATGGACTATATAACGTACAGCAAACTTGGTTAAAACAATGGCTTGAAGCTGTATTCTCTAAGCTTGCTAATGATGATAGTTATGAAAAAGTTTTTGCTACTTGTGGTATTGTATTTTATGCTTTACGATTTCGTTTCAAAGTAATACAAACAGAATTTTATAAACAAATCAATTCATCATTTGGAACGAATATTGACATACAAACAGCTCAAAAGACAGTCGGCGATGTGTCTGCATTAATGTCTGCTGCACCTGTATTTGTTATTACACGAAGAGTTGAACAAGTATGGAAACAAATGGTTTCAGCATTTTCTGTCAATGAGCCAATTTTAGTTGTTGGAGAAGTTGGTTGTGGTAAAAGTGAATCCGTTATAGCGTTAATGCTTTTAATTCAAAAACGATTATTTTCATTGACATTTTCACCAGAAACAGATCCGTCAGATCTTGTTGGACAATTTGTGCCAGTTACAAATAATTCAAGCAAAAAGAATCTTGTCGATTGGAGCAATGGTATTGTAACTGATGCTATAGAACATGATGCCGGACTTCTGCTTGATAACTTGAGTGATGCAGATGCATGTGTATTAGAAAGATTAAATTCCTTATTAGAACAGCCACCTATATGGGTATTAACTGAAAAAGGTGATACATCACCAATGAAAATACCAAAAAATTTTGGTATCATTGCGACTATGTCTCCTGCTAGTGACAATGCATCAAAGGCAGCAGGTATTGGTGGAGAACTTTCACCGGCACTTTCGAATCGATTTATAACTATATTCATGCCGTCATTAAAACCGATTGGACCTGGAAATGAAAATCAATCGAAATCTATGAATGAGTCATTAAATGAAATAACTTTGATTGCCGAAAGATTATTAGGAGATTCATTTGCAGATAAAGATATTACATTGGCTGTACAACTTTGGAAAGATCTTTGCACAAGCGCATATCAACATCAACAACCACAAACCGTTAGTTTTCGAACGATGATTCGACTATTCGATTGTGCATACAAACTTCGATCTCACACACCAACATTGACACCTAAAGATACTTTTTATCATGCATTTGTCGCTACAATCCAAGAACAAATTAATACAGTTAATAAATTACATGAAATACTAGATGAAACTGCTCGTAAAACACTTCAAATTGATAGCTACTCTGGAACTCAAACTAAACTGAATTTATCAAAATTTTTCAATGAAAATGAAAGCTCTTCGGAACATGTTCTATCCGACAGCCGTCTTCGTCATGCAGAGACATGTGCAAAATGTGTTATTAGTAATTATCCAATTTTATTCGAAGGCCCACCAGCAGTTGGCAAAACATCACTGATTGTGTACTTGGGAAAAAAACTAATGGGAACAGGTATGAAACTTGAACGAGTTAATAATTCTAGTACAACATCGGTTCAAGACTATATTGGTTCACTTGTACCGTTTGGATCAAACTTTGAATTTAAACCTGGTTCTCTTGTACGTGCAATGACCAATGGATATTGGTTTTTAGCAGATGAACTCAATTTAGCTGATCCATCCGTACTAAGTATTATTCTAACAGTTCTTGATCGGGGTGAGATTCGTATACCCGGAACTGGTAAATTTATTCAAGCTCACGTACAATTTCGATTTTTTGCTACACAAAATCCAGCTTCATCTCAATTTAAAGGACGTAATCGTCTGCCACCTATTCTACGTAGTCGATTTATGGAAGTTCAAATAGAAGATTTTAGTCACAATGAACTCGAAACCATTTTAAAGAAACGCGTTGAAGAACCATTGATTGGTGTACCACGATTGATTTCAACAAATGAATTGAAAACGAATTCTCAAATGGCAACTACCATGGCATCCATATATATTGCACTTCAGAATAATCCAAATCTACGCATAACTATGCGTGAAATTATAAAGATAGAACGTCGTGCTTTAATGTTTTCGAATAATTCAGATAATTGGCCTGATGCTGCTAAATCATTACTATTACTAAAATTCAGTAAATCGTCAATTCATTTTAACAGTTTAGCGAAACTCTTGGCAGATAAATGTAATATTGAATTAAAACAAATGCAGATTGATTCACAACCACGTATAGAAGAGACAGAAAGTGGTGTTAAATTTAGTCTTGGACAAATACAAGCCTCCTTTTCGGAGGCTAAACGAGAACAATCAGATTTATTCAAATCTGATTCGTCACCGCCATATTCATTTCAACGAGCACTTGTACAAATAGCAGTTGCTGTAAAAGCTCGAGAACCAATTTTATTGATAGGTCCGACTAGTTTCAAAACATTATTGGTCAAAACGTGGACTCAAATTATTGGAAAAAATGACTTATTACAATCGGTACATTTAACTGCCGAAAGTGATGCCAATGAATTAATTGGGCAAATGTGCCCATTTTCGTTTTTTGCAACTTTACACGAATTAGTGTCACTAGCCAAAGCTGTTTTGGCACGATCTGCATTAACAGTTTCAATAAAAGTTAAGGATGCCAAGTTAAAGGAGGAATGGAAAGATTTAGAGCGAGTATTATCGAAACGTATTGATGATTTTCAGACAAAAATAAAACATGTTGAAGATCAAGAAGTAATCAAAAACAATGAGCAAAGAAGACAGAAGGAAAAGTTACAAACAGCAGAAGATGAATACAAAAATAATAATGCTGGGACAGACTCAAACTGGGAAGATTATTTAGATACATACGGCTCTGGTACAGGGGAATTTGGTACAACAGAACTGAATAATGAAGATAATGAAATTTTTGATAACTATGAGCTTGTTGATAATCCGTATGGAGAGTTTGGAACTTCGAATGATCATGATGATTATTTGCCCAATGATGTCGAACAAACTTTAAATTTAGAATCAAACACTTTTGAAAATGAAAATACCATACATGACTCAGACCAAAATATTGGTTCTGAAACAATTCATAATCAAAGTGCAATCGATGAATCTTATTCCTTTGAATTTGAGACGCATAGATCAGCAATGAGTGAATCGCTTACTAATCTTGAAAATGATTCAGAATATTTACAGGACAATTTTGAACCATTAGATAAAGAAGAATTGCAAACTTTACCACAAGAATTATTGAATGCCGCTACAAACTTATTATCGTCACTTCTTGATATAAAAGATATTGCTATTGTAGGAACAGATGAAAGTTTATTGCAATCAATTGAACGTATTAAATTCATCTGGAACACAATCAGTTCACCATCATTTAATCGAAACAAACCAATATTTTTATTTCGTGATGCAGCTGTAACTCGTGCTGTGAAACTTGGTCAACCTATTCTTATCGAAGACTTTGATTTAGCAAATCAAGCTGCTACTGAACGTTTAAATAGTTTATTAGAACCAAATCCATGTTTTTCCGTTACAGAAGATATAACATGTTCAAACACGACTATTGATGTTTTACCTGGTTTTCAACTATTTGCTACTGTTCATCATGGGTCAGAATCAGAACCAATTAAAATTAGTCCAGCAGCTAGATCGCGTTTTACTGAAATTCGTGTAGAAGGCTATAGCGATGAGGAAGCCAAAAGTGTACTTTCTCAGGAATTGAAAAGAAGATTACAAGAAAATGAAAAATGTTTTGCTGAAGGGATATGTGAAAGGCTTGAAACGCTTCAAAAAAAATTGAAAACTGCAATGGATATTAGTGTACGTCATGAACACTCTCATTATGATTTAATCAAATTTCTTCGAATTATCGACTGTTTATCTTCATCTACTACGGGACTTGATCTTAATAAAAGACTTCTAGTGGCAGTTCGGTTTTTTTTATTGGATGGCGTAACATCTGGCAAAGATATTGCTAAATCATGGATTGAAACTTGGGGATTGTCACATGAAGAGTTGGAGCAAACAAAAAAGAATATTGATTCAATATTCGATGAACCAACACTAGATCATGTTTCAGAATTCATAAAAGTTACAAATAAAGCAATTAAAAGTGCATATTGTGATATTTGTATGCCATTGCGTGACGATGACAGTGAAGAAAAAGTTTTTTCTTGTTTGCGTATATCTTCAACAAAAACAACATGTAAAAATATTGCTCGATTATTTACAGCCGATTCAGCACGAGTTCCACTACTTCTTGAAGGGCCACCTGGTATTGGTAAAACAGCAATTATTGATCAAGTATGTAAATTAAGAGATGAGAAATTAGAACGTATTAATATGTCAGCAAATACAACTGTAGAACAATTATTTGGTAGTATTGTTGCCAAAAGCGACGGACAACAACGTACATTTGTATGGCAAGATGGTGCAGTCACACGTGCCTTACGAAAAAAACATTCAATTTTGTTTGATGAAATTAATTTGGCACCGCCAGAGGTTTTAGAATCAGTTGTTTCATTATTACAGCGTGATAAAAAGACTATAGTGTTAACGGGAAATACAGAACCTATAGAGTTGAATTCAAGAATTTATGCCACTATGAATCCAGCAAATATCGGTGGAGGTCGTAGTCGTTTACCGAGATCGATTTTTCGCATGTTCACTTCAGTGAAACTTGATCCATATGATGATATTGAACTTCAACTCATCGTAACAAGTGTATTTTCTGATTTATTACCAGAAAATAAAAATTCTGAAACAACAAAAACAGGTGATTGGCCTATATTAACTCATGAACAATTGAATCAAGTATTTAAATTACATAAAGAAATTCACAAACTAGTTTCATCACGAGATATTGGACAAACAGGTGGCCCACATGAAATTAACCTTCGAGATTTAATAAAATTATGCGATGTTTTACGTAAAAATGCTCCTGATCTACGTGATCATTACACATTTTTTCCTAAAACTTCATCAGTTAGTGGAGTCAAACTCGATATTCGACTGATTATAATTAGAAAATTCTTTCGTCTTGTATATGGGATGCGATGGCAAGATATTAACGATCGATTAAAAGTTGATGCACTAATTAACAAATATCTTCCTATATCGGACAAAATAAACAATGAAGAAGATAATACGTCTTCAATTACAATTGATACATCAACGCTCGGTTTTATTCGAGTTGGATCACTTTATGTACGCACAGGTCACACAGAAGATTTCGATTTTGGAAAAGGTTTAGTTCATACGCCGAAAACCGTAGAATATCTTGAAATGCTTGTAGCTGCGTTGCAAAGTAAACGAGCAACAATGTTAATGGGACCAACGGCATCAGCAAAGAGTGCACTACTATATGAACTTGCTCGTATTTGTCGTCGACAATTAATTGTTCTGCATTTAACACAAGAAACTGAAACAGCCGATTTAATTGGTCAATGGGTACCTCATGTTTGTGAAGAAACAAATCGATCATTAGACACATACCCATTTATGACACATATTGATAATTTTATAAAACGTCTTACAAAATTTTTTCTTATATATGTTTGTCCAGTTTTAAAACAAGAAAACTTTGATGTCGAGCGTGAAATTAAAAATTTATTACCGAAAATAGTCTCTGATTGGCTTAATATTCAAACCAAATTTCAACTTTATTTTAATTCACTTAACATTTCTTCAGATTCGAACTTAAAAACAGAACAAGTCGAAAATAATGATAACAGTGAAAATCAATCGAATTTCTCACAAGAAAACGAGAAAGAAGTACCATTATTAACAGAGGAATGCATAAAATATTTAAAGTTTATTGAACAAGAATTATCAAAACAAATTGTTAACCTTGAAAGACAAAAAGATCTTTGCTCAGATGCAAATATTTTATTATTGGATTGTAAATATCTTATTCGTTTGGTAAAAATACATCATGAAAATCAATTACCTCAAAAATCACACTACACAGAAGAAAGTACTACAGAAAGTAAGAAACTTGAAATGACATTCAAGTTTATTGAATCCCAACTTGTTAAAGCCATTCGTGAAGGTCATTGGGTCGTATTAGATAATATTAATAGTGCACCGCCAGAAGTACTCGAACGATTATTGTCATTATTTGAAGAGAATCCAGTACTGAATTTGTATGAAAATAATTCAACAGAAGATGAGAATAATAACACAGAAGAACTTAGTGGAGATAAGATTCATCCAGGTTTTGCTCTTTTTGCTACATGTAATCCAAAACTTGAAGGTGCCAACAAACTTTCAAGTGCATTAACCAATCGAGTCCTATGTATATCTTTAGAAGCTTTAGATAATGATATTATATCAGATGTGATTATAGATAAAAATAATATCAGTAAAGATAAAATATTTGATCCAACAAAAACAAATATATTTAAAATATTGTTAGATCAATTTGTTGGTGTTCATGGTGGTTATGAACTTCTATCATTTTGTCTACTCTGTCATGCTGATGCTAAAATGATGCTACAAAATGAACAAATACATCCTATAAAAGGATTTCAATATTCTTTTCGAACATTACAATATACTTGTTCGACAGCTCGTTATTCAATGAATCAATATCAATTAGCACCATTACATGCAGTGATTTGGAGATTATTACGTAATTATACAATGTGTATCACAAACTTAGAAGAGAGAACATTATTAATAAATTCATTTAAGAAACATTTAGAGTCACCATTTGTTAAGAAGAATACATTTACATTTGTAAAACCAATTAGTTATGGTTCGAAAAATCAACTTGATCTTGATATTGATGAATTAACTGATACAGTTAGCAAAGCTGAAATGTTGATTTGTGATGCAATGTGTATACTTATGATTCATTTCGTAGAAACTGAAGTATCAGCTGACAATATTGCCGATTTCATTCGTGGATTTGTACATAACGTGTTGTTACAACAGCGACCCTATTTAAAACAAGAACTTGGTGAACTGTGGAAATTAATAGATTCAACAGGTCCATTATCAGAAAAAGCAAAAATAGAAATTTTAAGTGATAGAACACGTGAATTACTTTGCGGTGATATAACGCGTCAAAGTATTGAAATATTATCAACACAAATTGAACTATGTGGAATTAAATTATATACTAAACTATATAAATTTATTGAATATGTATCAGTTTTTGATTCAGAAAAACAAGCGATGGTATTAAAACGAATTTGTAAAGTTTTTGAAATTTTTGAAAATTTATTCAAAAATATCGAATTTTCGCAAACACATACTTCTCCGACAGAACAACTTTGGTATCAAACACAAATGTTAATTCGTAAAATAAATTCGTTCAATCTTATTTTATCTTCATTTCGAATAGTTAATCAAAGTTCTCTTATTCAATTTTCTGATGTTTTACAACCATTATTTGAAAAAGTTGGACAAAGAAGTAGTGGATTTGCAATTCAAGATATATTAAAGAAACCACTTACTACAATAGTAGTGAATTTAGAAAATGTTTTATCAAAAATTAAAAATTTTCATGATAGATTTAGTCAATCAGAAAATAATGAAACTTATCAATTCATTCGACAAATTCTCAATCGATTTTTAATAGTTGCGGGATGGTGTGCAGTTATGTGGAAAACAACTATTAATACATTAGAGCAACAAATAAATGTTCGTTGTATTGATACAAGAAAGAGTTTATTAACAATTCAACAGCTCCAAATATGGGATATAAAATTAACTATGTGTGAATGTTTACCAGATGCTATAGAAAAACTTGAAAAAGCATCATCTGCAATAGCATCAAATGATTCAATTCGCTTTGATGAATGTAAGAAATCAATTCAATCAATACGAAATCTTTTTCAAACAAATTACTTAAAAAATATTCAAAGACAATTAATGGTTAAAACAATTCAAAAACATGCACAATGTTGTGAATGGTTACAAAAATTAATTTATGATTCTTCAGCTGGCCATCTCATTTCATTAGAATATGCTTTGAATGAAAATTTCAAAATCATTTTAGAAAGTATTGAATCAAATGAAATTCATAGTCCTTTTTCATTTATATGGATTGGATTATTTTTTACATCTATAGCTAAAACGATACCTAGTAGAGTTTATGTACGTATTATAAACTCGAATTCAAAACATGTTCAAGAAATTAACGACGATGAGTTTAGAAGTTCTGTATTAGACAAAAATGATGGACTTGATCTTACATTTTATATTGATACAGATTTATTTGAATCAAATATTGCGTTATGTATTACAAATTTTAATAGATCAAAAAAAGAAGCCAATCAAGTTGTTTTACTATCTAATATTGATAATCCATCTTTACTACTTGATCAACTTAAGACACCATTCAAAGTTATAGGAGCTTCTATAACACAAAAAGAATATCAATTACCAAGTTTAACTCAAGATTTATTTTTAGATCATTCTACAGATGTTTTAAAAGAAAAAATTTCAACAATGTTAACAGCAATTGCATCTTTCAATTGGATTTCACATACATTTGATCTTGAATCAATAACTTCCCAAAGAAATAAAGAATTTCAGAAAGAAATAGAAATATTTCTTATAGATTTGCTGAATAAAAGTTCTTTATTAGTTAAAAGTTCAAATGCTAAAAATTGGACAGAAAATAACACTGTAATAGTACATGAATTAATACAAACATTATGCATCACACTCAATCATTTACGTAAGACTCAGCGAGGAGAATGGAACGATACTGAATTAGAAACTAAAGCATTAGAAATAGGTGACAAAGCTAAAGAATTTAAAGAAATATCTTCAATTAGATCAACAATTATTAATGAAATGAATGAACGTTGGAAAACATCAATACTTGATCGGAAATTATTACAACGAGTTTTACAATTACCAATTGAAATTAGTAACACAATTCCATTTGTTCTAACAGAAATTCAAAATATTGTTCAAACTCAACATATCAAAATAAATAATAAATTAGAAGCACAAATAAAATTAATAGATTCAATGAATTCCTTGGTCAAAATATTTGTTAATAAAGCATTTTCTACTGCAACAGAAGATGATTCGATTGATCAATATACTATTGAAGAACATAGTAAATTACAAATAGAATTCTTATCACATGTTGTTGAAGCAATATGTTATAATTGGTGTATTCAATTACATACGACAAATGAAAGAAATTTTGAACTTCACATTAATGAAACAGGAAAATTGGACGAAATTTCATTTTATAAAATGAAGCAAATAATTAACCGAGTGAAAGGTATTCTGACAATTGATGATAGTATAATCAATACTACTAACATACATACAGCTATTAATGTTGCTATTGAAATTTGTCAAAATGAATTGAAAAACAATAATAGAACGGATTCAAATGACGCTAATGAATCTGAACAATTGATATCAGAAACATCTGAAAATGTACATTTAAAGGAGTTACGTGAAGAAAAACAAAAGTTAGAAAAACTCTTAGAAGAAGCCCGCCAAATACGACCATATCCTATCCTAACTATTGAACGAGCTCGTAAAAATCTACTAGACATTGAAAATTGGATTGAGACATTGAAAAGTAAAAAACAACTAACTGAAGAAGAAGTAAAAGAAATTTTTCTCTTAAAAGAGAGTATAAGTGTTATAAAACGAAACATTCAAACTTTAAAAAGTCCTGGTAAAAGTAAATTACAACACCTTTATAAACATTTACAACGAGTCAATGATTACATTCAGGATATGAACCATTGTTCAGCAATAGAGCAGCTACGGTTATCATATGAAGAAAGTCCTATTGATCGTTCACTAACTGAAAAACTGAAAGAGTCTTGTAATAACCTACAACAACTAACTCAATTATCAGATGAAATCCAAAAATTAGAAAAAACTGACTTTTTGACACAATTAATTGAAGAATCGTATGCAGATTGGGGTTGGTGGCAGCTATTAAATATATCGACTTCATGGTTTCGTTCGGAAACCAATAATAATCTTGAACAACTTCAAAGTCAAAAATTGCATGCTGTCGCAGCTATTCTAAATGATAAAATAGCTATGGAATTTAGTCGTAGAAATTTAATTTTCGAGCAACAAAATACATCTAATAAAATTGAAATTGAAAAATTATTCGAAATTATTGTATGTGAACATTCAAAACATGTTACTGAACTTGGAAGTAAATTAAGAAGAAATATTCATGAAAAAAAAATTATTACTTGGAATTCTATACAAGCCGCTTGTCAACCGATAGCTAAACAAAATGTAGAAAACAAATTAAATTTTATTAATTTATTTCGTTTTGTTGAAATTCTTCATATTCGCAAACGTGATTTAGACAACACAATGAGTAGTTTTCCTTGGCATGCATCATATATATTACAACCACGACTTTTACGTTGTTCAGATTTAATAACATGGCTATGTCCAGAGTATTTGCAAATAGTTTCTGAAATTGTTGCAATCGAAATGAATGTCGAAATGTTTATTTACGATTCACAAAATCCAAAACCTAATTTGACTTTTGTCAATCGAACGAATATTTTTCATCCAAGTTTTAATGAACCAAAAAGCGATTGGCACATTAATGCGTGTAAAATTTGTAAACATACAGAAAATTTAACCTCATCAAATTTTATATTTTCTTCTAATCAAGTAAAATCAATAGCTGATTTTCTAGTTAATTTATTAAACGAAACAATAACAAAGAAACCACCATTTTTATCTTTACAGCAAAATATACCATTAGAAATTATTCTTGGACTTGTTATGACGAATATTACAATTTATTTGTATGGAGAGACTGTATGTATGAATAACAAAAAGATATTTATACAAATTAATAGAGAAACTTTACGTGGAATAACTGAAGAATTATCGAAAAAACTAAAGAACATCGAAGATGACGAAAAAAGAATTCTGACAGACCTGCGTAGTTTAGATGGTGAATTAAAAGAATTAGAAGCTAAATTAAAAACTTCTCAACGTCTTCGAGATATGGGTGCACTAGGTGCTGGGGATCGTATAGATGAATTACTTAAGAAAAGAGAGGGCCTTATTGGAGAACAAAGTAAATGCAAGGAAGAACTTGATAAAATTAAGAAAAATAAAGAGCAAATTGAAAAAAATCTTCTCGAACAAAAACATCAATGTGGCCAAAAGATTCAAGAAGATATTTTCCATAAAATGAATCAAATAAATACAGAAGTTAAGAAAATAATGACATGTATTTCAAGAAGTGTTTCTTTAGATTCATCGCCTTCTAACGGTAAACTTAATCAAATTCTATCAAATCATTTGAATATATTTAAAAAACTTTATTTTACTAATGTCACAACAGTTAATGACTGGGGCGAATCGATCTATCAAACATTAAAAACTCTTCGAGGTTTATTTTCTGAAGTAGAAACCATTTTACAGAAATTAATGAATGATGATCCATTACGAATATTCATTGATTGGACTCTGACATGTATACTAGAAGGATTAACATGTTCTGCTAACAACACAACAGTATACAATAGATGGCAAAATAATGTCAACAATATAGAATTATTTAAAGCTACGGAGAAATGTCGTGAAATTAAGAAATCTTTACATGAAATAATAGAACGTGCAGCAAAGACTACTCTTGATGTTCCAATTGTATCCGAACTTCTAGATAAATCAACCAAATTGTATAATGACTTTGAAAATAGCGAAAAAACAATTTCTATTTCGGATAATGATGATGAGTCTTCAACACGACTTGTACAAATGGTCAGTCGTTTTGTATATCAATTAGTAGCATGTCTAACAACTCTAGCAAAATATTATGGAATTACACTTAAAAGTGAACAAGAACAAATTGCTGATTATACAAAACAAATTTTATTATCAACTAGTAAAAGTAAATTTATGTGGATTAATTCTGGTAAAGAGGCAGATCTATTAAAAACAATTGATCGTTTACGTCATGAACTTCCACAAGTCGAAGCTGCTTTATCAAGTATATTTATATCAAAAACTACTGGAAGTCTTCTATCACCACTCTCACTGAATATTGATTTGGAGCAATGTCTTCTCAGTATTGGAAATACAGTTTTACCATCCTCTTATTTATTGAAAAATTTTGTTGAAAAATGTTTACTTTCATTTGTTGGACGTGATATTACACGAATTGGTAAAATTTATTCAGAAAATATTGTTACTCTAATTCTTGAGTTTATTCAAGCTACCAATGAAGTTGCCAACATTCCAATGAGTATATCTAAAGCAGATGCAGCTGCTGGTGTTATTGAAAAGATGAATACTATATCGAAATTTGTTGAAACTGGACAAAAACTTGATTTTCAGGGTCGTAATATTCGATCTGAATTACCATGGGATGTCTTCAATAGAGCTCATGAGAACGTTATTCGTGAAATATTGAAATCTGCTACTACAGCAGTTGCTAAAACTTTTTCTAAGAAAATTGCTCAAGAAGTTGCAAATTCATCAATAATTGGTGCATATGCATATTCGAATGAAAGTAAATCGAATCAACAGATTTTTGAAAAAGACAATAAAGGTTTGTTTAAATTACGTTATAATGAATTACGGTTATGTGACTTTGCTCGAAGGTCAGACTATTTAAAACAATTACTTTGTCGAGAAACACAATTACCAGATTTAGGATTACAACCAAATTTAGAATTTGATTTCGAAAAGTTACATGAAGTAGCTATTATTCTTGATAAAACCGTTCAAACAACCGGAAATCTACTTGTTGATTTAATGGATTGTCTTACGCAACCACAATCTCTAGGTTGCATTATAAATAATTTTAATGATTTTGTTAAACAAATCGCTAAGGATATGACAAGCGAACTCTTGAATGAAGAAAATGCTAAAAAAGTATTGTTAGCTGCTATACAACAAGCTAGAAATTTCGAATCACTTTGTATGATGAAGGAAGTTACAGATTCACAATGGTCAAAAATGAGAAAATATTTAGGAGCTATGAAAAAGATGTGCGAAAACTTCATTAGATCCTATAATGAAGCAACAGATTGCGAAAATATATATCAAAAGGAAATAAACGAGATGATAGAGCGTCGTCATGAGGCTCGAAAAACGTTCTTGGGAAAGCTTTTAGACAAAATTAGAAAAAAATATAACGAATTTGTCGATAAAGAAAAACAAAGAGAAGAAGAACACGAAAAAGAATGTAGAAAATTTAGAGAATGGCAAGGCAAATGTACAGAAAAAGCTGAAGAAATAGTAAAATTCTTACAGGAATTAAATTGGCTGCAGAATTACCCAGAAGAGGCAATAACAATATGTAATATCATTGGTTCTTTGTATTCCAAAGATCCAAAGGTAAAATTAATTCTTCAAAACATCGTCACTGAAAAACAAAGGATTTATGTGAGTGTGACAATACTATCTATTTATTCTGATTCTAACATACAAAACAAGGAAATTACTTTAAAAGACGAAAAAGGACCAAAGAAAAACTCGATTCTTTCTCATATTATGCACACACCGCTAACTTTAGTGATTCCTATAAATGAATTAGACAATAAGATTAAGATTCAAGTAGATGATGATTGGTGTGACATCGCTCTTTCGCCCCCTCAATCAAGAGGCACGGCAACACTATTACAAGGGAAACTTAAGTTACAAATTGAAAGCAAAATACAAAATGAATATTTATTACAGAATGACAAACAGAATTTGAATCCGACACCAACTTCTACGGAAAACGAAAATGGAAAAAAAACATTAGACGATCTGTTCATTAGTTTAAAGAAGCTCGAAGAGTATTTAAATGATCCCAAAAAGGATCCAGGTTCCTTTGTCCCAGAAATATACAAAGAGAAAACACCAAAAGACGTTACAGATGACACTGAAGACAAGAAGCAAGCCGATGAATCCAATAAGGAAAGACTTCCTGTGAAGACGGCATTACCAATGATAATGAGTGAGTTGCGTCATGGTAAAGAAGTTATAGAGAAACTATATAAAAATCTAGAAAGCGTAATAAATAATAAAGATATAACAAGACTAGAGTTGAAAGATACCATCCAATTAAAAAAGATTCCTGAAAACATTGGAAAAAGCATTAGTGGTATAGAGGTAAGGAACGGAAAAGTTATCAATATTGAGGATGTAGTTACAGTAGAAAATCTTAAAGTTTCTATTTCTGAACTGTATACGACAAAAATGATATCAATAATCGATAAGATGAAAGAAATAAATTTGAAACTTCAAAGTAACATTCAATGTGTTCATATTATATCAAGTATTCTTTTTGAACACGTTAAACTATTGAAAGTTGCTAATATAGGAACACAAGATGATTTGATACAAATAGAACAAACGAAGAGTAATTTTTCTGATATTAATATCTATCACTCTGATAAACTAGTGGAAAATAGAATTGAAACATATCTTCTACAGCGTGCTGCAGAGAAACTTTTAAGGCGTAAACACGAACTATTCATGCGTTTAAACAAATCTTTATCTTATTTAACTAAATATCAAGCTCGAAGCTTTGACATATTACCTATCATCAACAACACAGACAGTGGTGCATTTGAAACAATTGCCTATATTAATAGAATACATAGTTCTTGGACTATGGAACCGAAAAACCTTTCTGCTGATTTTGGCAAGCGATTCATATCGATTAGACGAAATAAACGATTGATACGAAATTTCGTCATAGCAAATACTGGTGATATTCCAGTTCGTATTGTTTGTTCTGCAGAACAAAAACCAAACTTATCATTCATACCACCGTCATTTAATGTATTACCTGGACACTTTCGATCATTTTCTGTTGTCTTCACTGTATCGGCACAAGAGAGTATGCTGAATACAAATGCAACAATTTCTGCACAAGCACATGTTGGCAATGAAGAGCCTAAACCAATGGGTAAATTAATAGTAACAGGAAGTGTTCATTGTTCAAAAGTTGAATTATCAGAAACAACAATTGATTTTGGTGATTTAATTTCTGGAAGTGGAACTCATGTAAATAGTTTAACTTTGAAAAATAATAGTAATCTTAAAATCAAAGTACGCTTTGGCATTACATGTTTAAGAGAATGTTTATCTGGAATAGAAGTTTTACCTAAACAATTGATAATTTTTCCAAAATCATCAGAAAAAGTTAGCATCGTTTTGCGTTGTGCAGATAAAGTCGATGAAGTGAAAGCACAACTGATTGTAGTTTATGAGGGTGCTGAACCACAAACATTACCAATCACAGCTAACATTCAAGAGCCCCAATTTAAAATTTATTTACCATCCTCAAGCGATCATTGGAGAGCAGGAGATAATGTAGACCTTGATGTTGTTTTAAATGAAACTCGATTTATCACATTAGTTATTGAAAATTTGAACAATGTTGAATTAAATGCTATTACTAAAATCGAACAAACATCAAAAGATTGGATCAATATAATTGATGAAATTGTTGTAATAAAAAAGAAAGAACGTGAAAATATTCGTTTATGGATTTTTGGAAGGGAAGAAGGTATCTTTTCGACCTTATCAAGAATTATAATTGGTTCAAAAGAATTGAGAATAAAGATTAAGATTACGTGTTGTAAAGCAAACATTGCAGCAAGTTTGAAAACCGACATTAATACTATAAATGCTGACATATATTGGCTTAAAGAGCATAATCTCATAGAAAATCGTCGATTGTTACCTTTCAATTGCATACTGGAACTTCAAAATAATGGACGTATAATATCAACGGCACATGCTGATTTATTACAGTCATCAAGTAGTTTTAAAATAATTGAACAAAACAATCATTCTGTAAATAACAACGGCAGAACAGTTGACATTGAATTGGAACCAAAAATGAAAAATTCGTTGTCCATTTTATCACATTTATATCGCTTTAAAAACAGTAAAATTAAATGCAACATAAAAATTCAAGATGGAACAACAAAGACTATTCAATGTGATATCAATGTCAAATGTGGTCAATTACTTTGTGAAAATTATTGGAAAGATTTTGGAAATATGACGACTAATCAACAGTATACTTTTGAAACAAAACTTTTTGCAAAAGAGGACCCAGTGCATTTACTTGTTAAGTATGTACCAACATCACATTTAGCATTGAAATATATTATGGTCAAGATCAATAACAAGGAAGTATTACCTACAGCTAAGGCACATATTCATATAACATTGGAAGAATTTGTGAAAGAAAATGTAAGACATGAAATTATAATTCCATGTGGCTCTTTTGCTATCCTAAAAGTTGTTCTTCAACTAAAAGATTCTTTTCAAATAACAAATAGAGAATCACAATTTTTACAAGAAATACAAGTAATTTCTGTTAGAGAAGCATTTCTTGGTCCTGATCACATTGTTTATGAACATCGTCCATTCTGTTTTATTATGTCAGGTACACTATCTTCATCCAAACAAAACATTATTCATTCAAACATATCTATCGAAACTTTAAACAAATTATTTACTGATATACTATCGATTTATTGGGATACACTGGGAAACAGCTTAGATTTATATCGAAATTCTGTGAACGATGCTGAGAAAAAACAAATTTTGGACCAGATAAAAGATATACTTAACAAATCATTTCAAAATCGACAAATAGAAAATGTCTATAACATAGGCAAATTGATCGATGAAATACAGCAACCTATTTCAGGTTTAAAATTAGCTCATTACTTCATTCAAACACTTGTTCATACATGGAATATTCATCCAGTTTTAACGCTTCCTTTATCACAAGTTACAATAGAAAATTCAATTGATGTAGCAGCTGCATGTTTATCAACTCAACTGTTTAAATCAGATCAACAACAACACATATTCATCGAATTAGTTTCTTTATTTCATTATACGACAAAGTTTAATCTATCTTCAAAGCCATCCTATGATCAAATAATAACAATACTTGATTGTGCCCTAAGACCATCACCAGCATTATTTGAAATATTTTCGAAATTTTTAGGCTACGGTTGTAAGATTCTGACCGAGCAGAACATAAATTTAGATTATATTGTACAACATTGGCCGTGGAATACAAATATTTTAAAACAAACAGCGATTTCAATTTCTAAAGCAATATCTGTATTATTTGTTGATCAAAATATCTCTGAACATGAAAAGATACAAAATTTAGCAGATTTTTTCAAAATATTAATAAAATCAATGAAACCTAATTTGAATTTATTATGGAATTCTTATTTACAATTGGATATGACAGATACAATTTCAATATCAGAATCATTTCAAATAATATGTAATATGATACCAGAAGACTTTAGCATTAGACAAGAAGCTTATCTACTTGCAGATATAGCGAAAACTTTGTTGCATTTCCGTGCACGTCCTCAATCATCATTGAACAAGCTCACAAGCTATTCAGTTGATCTTTTAGATTGTCAAACTGATGAAATTCGCACTATTTGGACAAATAGAAAGCCTAGATGGGAAAGTTGTATTATTTGTTTAATTACATATATTTTGGATCGAGGCTCGATTGTAGAAACTTTACTCAGAAACTCTCACAGATGGCCAGAAGATGAAGAAGAACTTCAAAATTATATTCGCCGAGTGGTGGGCCATGAAATTCAAGATGAATATATACAAAATACAGCAGAAATAGTGTTTTTATGGAAGAAATCTCTACGAGATGGAAACAGTTCAAGTATAATAAGCAACGCATCCAGTCTTATTTCATATTGCAGTAAAATAGGTTTGATACCACCCTCAAAACGAATAAGTTATTTGAATCGTGCATTATTAGCAATCGAAAGATTGTATAATTATTTTCAAACATATGATAATTCAGCAATTGATATTTGGTCAGAATTAGTTATCTTATGTGGGTGTATATCGGATAAATGGCGAAAGTCCCCTGTATGGTATGCATCAGACGCATTATTTCAATTTGAAAAACATCCTTCAATGCAAAATGCTTTAAGTATTTTTATTCAAGGTCTTTATCAAATGGCAAAAGAAAACAACTGTTCTGCATTCATTAACCAATTCAGATCTATTACATCTTTTAATGAAAATAATCAAAAAGCTAAACTCAAAACAATTTTTGATGTTTTAAACTGGTCATCATCTAGTGAAATTATTAATGCACGAAACGAATGTGAATTCCTACATTCACTTGAAAAAGTAAACAATTATGATGTTAATAAAGCGGCAAAATCGATGCTTTCCTTATGGCAAAATTATAAGATTTTGTCAAATATAGCATCAATGAATGAACGTTTTCAATCGGTATTCTTTAACATTATAGAAGTGGCTATAAACGAAGGTTATCAAATACCTAACAAAGACTTGAAACAACTTATTAATGCTGTCAGTTTGTATGCATACGATCGTAACAATCAACTTTTTGATGCAATTCGTTCTCCTTCTTTGATACTTAGTGCCATGAATGTTCATAAAAATTTACTAATAAGCCAAGGCAAATATTCATCGTCTAGTGAAATTATTCAAACTCATCAGAAACCTGTATTCATGAGGAACATTTCAAAATGCTTTTTAGATAAGGATAAATTGCCGAAATACAAACCTTCTTTTTCTTATGAAAATGAAGATGTTGATAATCCTAATCAATGGCTGAAACGTATGATAAAACCCGATGAAGTAGGATCCACTGTTGCGGAATCAATTTCAACAACAACCTCTTCAATCGACGAACATTCCAATGATAATTTCGATTCTTCAAGTGACAACAATCGATATGAAAATGTTAAAATAGATTCAAACAAAGTATCGACAACTTTACAGGAAATTATGGATGATTTATCAACTTCATCGAAAAACAGAAGTTTTGCAGAGGAACAATTACTTAACAGTATCGTTCGTTTATCTCAAATTGTTTCTAACTGGTCACGCAGTTTTACAAATATCTGTTCGCTTATTCGAAATGACAAACATGTCAGTGATGAGAGAAAATCATTGGCATTTCAAATTATTATTGACGGTGTAAATCTCCTAAGATATCTATTAGGATTAGAGAAAAACTTTGCTATATTTGTCAGTGATCCATTATCACAATTTATTCAAGGACAAATGAGAGTATTGAGAAATAAGCTTTCATCAATACCAATTCGAATGGTATCTGAAGAACTTTCATCTCAATTTCAACATTTACATATATTTAAACAGAAAACTGATGATGAAGATGAAGAAGAAGATACTATTCCAGTTTTAGAAGGAAATATCTACAAAAAAACTGATGAAAAAACCAGAAAATCTGATGTTGACCATGATGACCCATTTGCACATTTGAAACATGGAGAACAAACGAAAATAGTAGAAAAAATAAGAAACATAGATAAAGAAAAACAGAAATTTGCTTTACCCTCATTTGATTCATTTTTTCCTAATGAAACAGTTGCAGAAAATAACTTGAACGATGAAGAAAAACCAAAGACTCTTGAACTAAAATTTGTAAAAGAGCTACAACGGAAAATTCTAAATTCGTCACAAAATGTCCACAAGAAACGCAGGGCTGAAGCATCCAAAACAGATACATCAAAGCCAACTGATTCTCATTCTAACTTTCATCCAGTCTCCAATTATCAACCCAATCCTCGGACTGACTACTCAGATATGAGCAATACAGATGTAGAAGTTCAAACAAGTTTAGATCGAATAGCTGAAATAAACTTTACTACACAAATGGATACAATTTCTCATTTAACACCATCTAAAGAAAAAATTCGTGAATTGTTAAACGACGAAAATATTTATGATTTATATCGAAGTGGATCTTATCGTATGAAACAAAATAATCCAATGGCTGTATATAATTCAAAATTAGAAGATTTGCTCAATATTCCATCAGAAACGTGGACCTATCAAAAATTAGCATCCTGTGAATCAATAAAGACTGTGATTGACACTACATGCGCCATAGTTCGAGATGAACTAAGTGATCTGTTTAGTAAAATTTCAAATCCAGTTGCATTTGAATGGATAATTATAATCGATAATAGTGGATCTATGAGTGTTTATGAGAATTTTATTCGTGAAGCTTTGATCATTCTATTAGAAACATTAAAAAAACTTGAATGTCATGTAGCAGTAGGGCGATTTGGAAATCGTGGTCCACGTAGTCAAGTCATTTTAAAACAATTTGACCAGCCGTTAACATTTCGTCTTGGTCAAATGTTACTTGAAGCATTATCGTTTAGTGAAAGTTCTCATGTTGCAACTGGTGTTGAAGCAATAGCTAATTATATATGGGGTCATTCAGAAAAATCTTCAACAATAAATGTTAAACGAATTGCATTAGTTATAACAGATGGCTTATCAGAAGAACTACGTGAAGATAAAGATCAATTTACTGATACAAAAAGAGCATTCGACTTTTCTATAGCGATATTACATGTTCGTTCTACGCGATTAGCTGAAAAAATGGAACGATTACAGTCTTCACTAGAGCAAGTTTGCAATAACTTATATGTATCAATCGATCCATTTGAGCCTTCTGTAAAAAGTTTAGCTAGTTCGACATCAATTTTATTGGCTCTGGCATTTAAACAAATAATTAAGTCCATGCATGACCCATCACTAACGTCCTCATTACAAACATCTGATAAGACAAGAACTGTATATATAAAACCAATATCAATTCAATCTTGTGAACAAAACCGAAACTCTGATTATATATGGCCAGCAGAAAATTTAGAAAAAATAACAACCTATGAAGATGCATTAGAAAATGATGGATCTGGTTCAATTGCAAAATCATTATGTTTTGTTAATTTACCAAATAATGCATTACCGAACGAAGATAATGCAATAAATTCACTTCAACAAGATAATAGAACACAGGATATAGACAATTATCAGAAGATACGCTTAGATTATATGGAAGAAGCACAAAAAAAACTTGAAAATGAATTGAAATATGTTCGATTTCAATGTCACGAAAAGATTCAAGAAGCAAAACAAATATGGCAAAAAGCACAAATAAAACAATCAAAATTAATTACTGAATTAACAAATGTATTTGAAGATTATGTGATGCCATTTAATAAGTTTAGTCGCCGTCGTGCTGATTTTTCTGGACCATTGTATTTACCTGGTTTAGTAAAAGCAATTGCCACTGATTTTGCTTATAAACGAATTGGAAGCTCAAAAACAGCAGGTGGTAAACGTCATTATAGTGTTGTATTTGCCATTGATATATCAATGTCCATGATTGGTCATTTAGAACAGTGTGCTATGGAAAGTTTACTCTTATTAACATCAGCACTCGTTCAATGTGGAATTGAGAATTTTGGAATTATTTTATTTGGTCATAATGTACAAATCCTTAAGAAATTCGAACAACCATGGGATGAAGTTACGATTTACATGTTACTTAAAACTTTTATGATATCTTCGATGATTGGTACAAATGATGCAATTGCAATTGAATATGCACTTGATATGTTATCACAAGAACCTACTTCAAATATTAAAAAGATTTTCGTTTTAACAGATGGTTATACAACATGTGGTTTAGGATTAAGCGAAGCTTTAGTTCGTGCTGATTCAGAAAATGTTGAAGTCATTGGAATTCAAGTTGGATTTGAGCGACCATGTGTACATCGTTTTTATCGCGACTGGATCATTGCGGCTATTCCATCAGCACTTTGTGATGCATTTCGATATAAATATCGAAAAGATAATGATGGTCCTTTTCCAAGTTTATCAGATGACAATTCATTATCTGATAAACGAATTATACAAGGGACAAATGATGATCCACAGGAATTACTCAAAAATTTTCAATCTCAATTTTCTTCTATAGAAGAAATTCTTAGAACAGAGAGAGATGCACATATAAATGGTGGTTCAGGAGGTGGTAATATGAGCTTAGATGTTTGTTTTGTTATTGATGTTACAGCAAGTATGACACCTTGGTTAAGTGGTGTCAAAAAACAAATCAAAGCAATAACAGATGGTATTACCGAAAGAATAGAAAAAGATTTTCCAGATCTAAATTTCATTTTAAGATATGCTGTAGTTGCATATCGAGATGAAGGTGATAATCTACCAATTGAAAAGCTTAAATTTCAGAACTCATTTGTATTGGATAGAAAATTAACAGCTGAACAACAAAAGGAACAAAAGAAAAGATTTCATGATGAACAGACTAAAAGGGTACGTGCATTTTTATCACAATTAAGAGCAGATGGAGGTGACGACGAGCCAGAAGACGTTCTAGGAGCATTAAATCAAGTTATGTTATTAAATTGGGAAGCTAAAGTAAAATTTGCTATATTAGTTTGCGACGCACCAGCTCATGGTCGTGAATGTAATGATTCAATAAATGATCGTTTTCCGAATGGACTTAATTTCACAGTTGAAGAAATTATGAAAAAACTAACCGAAAAAAATATTGATCTTATTCTTTGTCATCTAAAAGCAACAACAACGAAAAAAATGGCTGATACATTTTTGACGCATTTACGAAAATTGCAATCGAATCGTAACGATCAAGAATTACTTCGTCAAATCGAATTGTATAACAAATCAGTTGTAGAACAAATAAAACCTTATCATTTCATTTTTGTACTAGACGAAAGTGGAAGTATGAGTGGTCAGCCGTGGGCTGCTTTAACTGAAGCATACAACACGTGTTTAAAAGAACGTATTAAAATTGCTCAACATTCAACAAATGATATCGTTAGTGTCATACAGTTTGACAGTGAAGTCCGCTGTATTTGTCAAGAATCTGCCTTATCAAGTGGAACTCCTTCATTACAACCATTACGTGGTCGAGGTACAAACTTTTCACCTGCTTTAAAAGAAGCTTTAAGGGTATTGAACACTTCGGCAGATAGCTATATTCCTGTGCTATTGTTCATGTCAGATGGAGCAGGAAGTGGAGGACCAGCTGAAATGACTACAATTTATAACCAATATCACCATCGAGGTCTTCAAGTGCATTCTATTGCATTCGGTTCTTCTGTTGATAAAGCAACTCTGAAGAAAATCGCAACAGTCGGTGGAGGACAATTTCATCATAACTCCACAGGAAAACAGTTAGTAGAAACATTTGTTCAAATTAGTACTGAATTGACGGCTGTCGACGGACTTATTGATGAATTTGCTCAAAGAGTGAGCGATGCAGCAACAACTAAATTGGCGTTCGAATTTTTATAAAATACATGAATACTATTTAAAAAACAACATTTGATTTTATGAGCAATTACTTATTTACTTTTCTTTCTTGAATTATTTTAATCTATGCATAATCATGAAAATAAATTTCTTTTACTTTGATTCATTCATTTAAACTTTCTGTAAAAATAATTATAAACATGCTTAAAAAATAAATCTAATATGTTTAATGCATAAAAGTTGAGTTCTGATAGACAAAATTGAAAATGACAAGATGAATTCCGACTTTTTTCACTTTTGATTTAGAAAAGCTTCTTGCCGCAGCTCCTTTCGAGCTAAAATACGGAGCTCATGTATATCCTGGGTGTGGGTGTGTGAATCTTTTAGAACAAAAAAGAATTCATAGCAACACCCACACCCACACCCACACCCACACCCACACCCCACACCCCACACTCACACACACCCTAAAAGAGTCTTTGACTAACTATCAAGAAAAATAAGAATCTGAAAGAAATTACAACATATTTCAAATATCTGAAAGTTAAACCAAGATTGTTTTTACAGAAAGGAGAGAAGATTCTTGTTTGATTTTCAAGGCAGATCACGTGATGTTTTTGTGTACATCTATCTATCTATCTATCTATATATCCCAGCATTCGTAGAATATTTATTCATTTTTAAACAGCGACAAGTAATGTTTATAGTGTTCACTTACAGGAACAACCAGTATTCTTTTCAAAGAACATGATTCACATGTTAGCATCACACGAGTGAAACTATTTAACAGTAAATATAAATTTATTTGTACATTAATGAATCTTACTATAGCTGGTTTTAGAATTTACGGAAATAACGACCTAAACAAAGTTACGGCTTAGTAATATGTCTCTTATTATCGATTCCAGACGATAAATATGTAGAAAACGATTGGTTATAATAGTTAGATATTTTTAATGTAAATAAAATGTATATTTTTTTCTTACTTTATTTTCATATAAATAAATTATTTGTATAATTTACTAATTTTTTCTGATAAACATGTCAAATTCAAAAAAAAACAAGTAATGATAGACGTTATATAACTAAAAGGAATCAACAAAGAAAATCAAGAGAAAAACGAATCTATAAGAATTTTAAGAACACAAGAATCTTTCCTGACCACAAGATTCTTGCAGAAAGTTAAGATCTGTTTTTTCAGACAAGAATCTTGTACAGAAGGAATAGAAAAAGAATCTTGCTTGCTAACCAAGAAAAACAAGCATCTGGTAAGAACGACGCCAAGATCGTCGACTGGTGTATACGCTCTAATGTTTCACCTTTTGAGGGTTGACTTTTTTTTCAATCAAAAAGTAACAATAGATCAAAATAAATAGCCGTGTTTTATATTTCCATGTTCAATCGTTGATGACGTCGTTTTAAAAAACAAAATATAGCATAAGATGCAGCATGAAAAGCTCTACAATCTACAAAGTAAGGCTTATTTATATATGCACTTTTTGTTTCTAAAATGGAGAACACTCTCTGCGATCAATTTTCGATACTGAAAACCAAATCATTTACTGATATACGATAAATTCCTTTTCTTAATCAATAATATAAAAAAGACATAATCGATGGCCAAATTTAGACCATTGATAAGTGTTGCAATTATGTTTCCACATTAGTTTTGATTTTACTTGTTAGAGGCACATATGAACTACATAATAACAAGTTAGTTAAGACAAAAAAGAAACAAGAAGATCTTCGAAAATCGATCGCATAGAATTTTGTCTATTTTAAAAACGAAAGAGATTATGTATAAACTCAGCTTTGTATTGTAAATTGCTGGGTTTTTCAAGTTGTATCTTGTGGTATATTTTGGTTTTTTTAATACAATATATTGAACAATTGAAAATTGAAATCTGAAACGCGACCATTTATTCTCTCTCCCTTCGTTATGTGGTACTGACGTATGTATCACAATCTTAGAGAGGGTTAACAAGAATAAATACATATTGATAAACTTTCTTTATAGAGAATATTTGCATCATTTGCGCAACAAAGTGAAATTTGATAAAAAATGCCTGCGACTCACAAGAAAATAGTTCAACAATTTGTACAATCACTCCATGATCATCATCTTAATGATCTTGATAAAGTTTTGGAACATTATGTTGAAAAAATTGAACATTCCAATATCGCTTATAAAAATATTGACGAAGCACGAGAATATTATTCAAAGGAACATCAAGCTCATCCATCGGCTGAATGGAAAATTCTTGATTATCAACAAGAGGATCAATACAATAATACATTAACAGCTCGTGTTTCATATAATAATCATATATACCACACAACTTATACATTTAGTTCAGCAGGAAAAATTGAAAAAATTCATTCTGTTCCTGAACATCATCACAATACTTAATGAATATTCATCGAGACATTATTTTTAAAGGATACTATATTCATTTCTTACATATTCTTCTTTTTTTTCCAAATAAATGTTCGCCCATTTTTCTTTTACAGATTAAAATTATTTTATATTTCAAATATTGCCTACAGTGACTTTCTAGGATTTGTGCTACGTTATTTGTCTGCCTGGAATATATTTTTTTAACCACTGCACTTTTGTTTGGTCTTCGGTAGGTTTTTTATTTTAAAGACGTTCATAGATTTATATTCCTAAACTTATCTTGGCTATTTTGATTGTGAAAAACTTTGTTTAGTCTTATAAAGACTAGCCTTTTACAGCAGCAGTAGGTTTATATTGTTTCATGTCTTTATACATTGGTGTGTGTTACATAAGTGTTTAAAAGTAAGCTGTGTCTCATGCAAGGATGTGACTGTTTTCAGAACATCGTCAAGAAGATTCGGCACATGAAAAATTCATGTTTTAGATTTCAACAATTTTGCTGCATTTATCAGAAGTAGACTTGAATTCGTAAAAATTTCATTTTTTTCATGTACAGATCTTTTGAAGGAGCAGCCGACTTTTTATTTCAGTCTCTCTTTGCATGCCAAGAATTTCTTACCATCGAATCAGTATATCCAACTGTCGGATCTTTTTAGATGTTATATATTGACTATTACTAGGATTCAATGACACTATGAAATTACGAAAATATTTTGAAATAATGGCAAGTTTAGATGGAGATCTGATTATATTCATACATCCACAAAAATATAATTTTTTTCACTATTTCTTCTATGCTATGGGAAATTTCGATGTGTGTCTTCGAGTTGTAAGGCTACACTGTAAAAAAAAAATAAATGTAGAATAATAAATTCTTATTTCCGTTAATTATCATTATATAAACCTTGTCAAGGGTTGGTGATTCATTGCTAACTCATTTATCCTTATACTATGTTTTTTTCTGTTCATCAATTTTCCTTGAATATATGAATTACAGTGAAGTCTTGATTATTTATTACTTTTATCATAAATAATAAATGAAAAACTTTTCTTTTTTCTTTTCCTAAACTTACAGAAAATTCTTCGTTATTTATCATTTTTATTTTATTTTATTACTTAATTTTCTGAATAATAACAAACTTCTGAAAGTCAATTTATATTATAAGTCGAATTAGATATCTCATGTATTTTTGAACAACTTGCTTTTTCTCATTAGGGTCAAAGCGTTATAATTTATTTTCTTGTTGAGGATGAACAATTGTACCATTATGTCTGTAGTATTTTCTTGTTTTACTAATACTCCATCAACACTCATTCATTTGTTACTTATGAAACTAGAAAACTGATTAATAATAATCAATTCTCTGACTTTTTAATATGTGAATGTGTCAGGCAAATTTGGTATTCAGGCAAAATTGAACTAATGATAAAAATTTTTGCTTTGAAAATATTGGGTATGATTTTGCCTAGTCAAAATTAGCTCTGTGCATAGTTGAAATTAAAACAAACAATTGATATATAGGCTTCCATATTCTTCATTATTTTTTTTTTAATTACTATACTATTGCATCAAAAAAATCATTTTGAGTTCGTTTGAGTATAGACGTGGCAGGTGAGTTTGGAATCTAGTTTCGATGAACGAGACATTGATGATTGATGAGAATTTAGTTTTTTCATCGAATTTTTGTCTCGTTTAGAAGAATTTTTCTATTTTGTTTTCGATGATGGGGACATTGACGGTTGGTGAGATTTTATTTTTTTTTCATCCAATTTTTCTCTCGCTTAAAAAAATTTGAATTTTTTTGTCCACTATGGGGATATGGGGACATTGACGATTCGTCTGATTTTATTTGTTTTTTTCATCGAATTTATCTTTCGCTTACAAAAAATTTGAATTTTTTTGTTGACGATGTGGACATGGGGACATTGACGATTGGTGAGATTTTGTTTTTTTCATTCAATTTTTTTCTCCTTTAAAAAAAATTTGTATTTTGTTTTCGATGATGGGGACGTAGCGATGTCGAATGCTCGATGAAGGTTTATTATGAAGTCTCTTTGTTCAATAAATTGGTTTGTATTTTTGATCAGAGCGACAGTGGATGCTTGTTTGAATTTGTATGAATAGTAAGCTTCTTTAATGATGGTATCTGTGATGTTGTTGGATTGTTTTCTTGTAAGTTTTTCCGTTTTGTTTCATTTTGTTTTTTTTGATCAAATAATTGACCGTTATGGTTCAACGATTGATTGAGAAAATGAGTTTAGTATGATTCAAAAGGTGGTTTATGTGTTTGAGAGATAGAGACGATTATGTAAAAAGTCATTTTCAGACCGCATAGGACATCAAGACATTTCTCTATTATATTTCTCTGCTCACTAATGGATAAATTCGATAAGGAGCTGTTTAGAGGATTTGGATAGATTTTCTGAGCTTTACAACTCATAGACTTAATAAAATTTAATTTCTGCTTATGAGAACATTGGAAGATGAATATCTATTAAATGATTATGAAAGATTAGAATAATTCACGAAATCAGAATAATTAAAAAAGAATCGTTCGATAATGGTTTTCTACATGCAGAAAATAGACGAAATTATTGTATTTGGGTTAGGAGTGATATCTTTGAAGGGTTCTCTTCAAGTTCGCTAGTGTAAAAATAGAACTTGATGGATAGACGTATCATGTATAAAATCACTTGATGAGGTTAAATCGAATAATGAACATAAATGAAATAACTTTTAGGAAAGGATTTTTGGGAGGCACTGTATAACGAAAAATTCAGATTTGAAAATTCAAACATAACATTTATTGGAGTTGCAAGGAAAAAATGTCAATGGTTATTGTGTATTTATAGAACAACTGAATTATACAATAAGTATTAATGTGTTTATTTTTTCTTTTTATAAGTTCTTGGAGGTTTGACATATTCATTGCAACAACTATTTCGTTTATTTTGTTGAATTTGACGAGAATGAATATTAACACCGTGTGCTATGTTTGATGATGTTAGTTCGGAATTATCCATATCTAAATAGTAGAAAAATATGAGATGTTTTCATACATCTATTTGAAAGAATAGAGAAACCAAAGATGTTAGAGTTTGAGATTGGGTTAACTTTTTAATGATTCGGTCGGACCCAACTCGTGGTCTAGGTTATTTTTTTTTTTGGCAAATGAGACGGAGTTTGTTTATAGAAATGAAACAATTTTTTGGTGCATCTGTAGGGATTTTTCCAACATTGAGAAGAACTAAGCCATTGTCTCTATTTACAAATTGTGTTGGTCTTGTATTAATTTCGATATGGATCAATTTATCGTGATCTGAAGCGATTTGAGTCGAATTTTGATAGATATTTAAAACATTAATCAGTTCGAAAAGAAATGAACGATATTGTTTTATGGTTTAGGCGAGAAGAAAAGAAGCTTTTTTTAATAAACAAAATGTGCTAAATTATAACAATGGAAAAAATTTTACCATTTAGGTTGTATGAATTTGTGTCATTGATAAGCGAATTAGAAGTTTCAAGAGTATTTGATATCATAG